CAAGTGAGATGACTTTAGGGTACCAGATTTTAAATATCCTTTCAAGCTTAATTACTGAAATCATAAAGGCTACGAAAAAATGTTTTATAAAAAGTTTTTTTTCAGGCAATGATTGGTGTAGTGCCACTCAATGACTTCCAAGTGAGATGACTTTATGGTACCAGATTTTTAATATCATTTCAAGCTTAATTACTGAAATCATAAATGCTACGAAGAGACGTTTCATAAAAAGGATTTTTTTCGTGCAATGATTGGTGCAGTGCCACTCATTTAACACTTATTCTAAAAAATCGACCCCTAATTTAAGATTTTAACATAAATTTTATTTTATTGACCTTAGATGAAATCCACATCTATCTCAATGTTTCCCTACAACAGCTCAAACCCCCAAACTCTCTTAGAATTTGTTTAAGGGATAATTGTGGCAAAAGCTCCAAACCTTTGAAACATTTACAGATTTTTCTCAAACCTTTGATTTATTGCAGCTGTCACCCCTAACTTTTTTAAACATTGCAGGTGAAATTCCGTCAATTGACCAAAAAATTTTACTTTGACCACATTTTTAATATTTTAAGAAAGGGCAAAAGAGTAACTTTTCATTTATCACATTAAATAATTAAATAAAAAAATAAGAAATAAACAAAAAAAGAACACACCACCCACCGATGTCTTCTTCCTCTCCAGTAGAATTCCTGAAGAAGATCCAGGGGACCCCTTTCACTCAATTCAGATTTCTAACCCAAAACATTTTATCTGTAATTTCATAAAAGAAAAAAAGAAAAAAGGAAGAAGAAGAAGAAGAAGGAGAAGAAGGAATCACTGGAGCATGAGGATACGGGCCTGGAACCAGATGCTTAGGACACAAAAATAAATGAAAGAAAGTCAAAGCTCGAGCCTCGAGGCTTTGATTTGAAAGAAATCCCAAAATCATGCAAATTATTGCAGCCCTTTCTATTTTCCTTCGGGTACATCACAGTCCCTACCATGCTACCTCCATATTGTGGAATACCAAAGTTCCCAATTGCAGTGTCATGAGTGCCCTTGATGTTGTTTGGTGACGTCACCCTTAAGATGTTCTTTTCTACCACAAACTGACCCACCACTGATTCAGGAAAAATCAACAGAGTAAACCCCAGCAAGATTGCACTTTCCGATCTTTTGAAACAACCCATTTGCTTGGATTTCCTGAATAGGTAATAAATTGTGGAGATCTTTTCAATCAGTGATATTTTGAGATTCCTCCTTCTTGTTTTTCCTTTTTCTTTTGTTTTTCTTTTGTGAAATGATAGATAAAATGTTTTGGGTTAGAAATCTAAGTTGAGTGAAAGGGGTCCCCTGGATCTTCTTCGGGAACTCTACCAGAGGTAGATGAAGAAGACACCGGTGGGTGGGTGTGTTTTATTTTTTATTTAATGTGACAAATTGAAAGTTACTCTTTTGCCCCTTCTTAAAATATTAAAAATGTGGTCAAAGTTAAATTTTTGGTCACTTGACGGAATTATGGACGAAAACCAGCCAAAAGGGCCTTATCTACAACGTTTGAAAATGTTAGGGGTAAGGGCTGCAACAAATCAAAGGTTTTTGGAAAGTCTGTTAATATTTCAAATGTTTAGAGTTTTTGCTGCAATTATCCCTTTGTTTAAAGATGTATAATTTAGTGTTATTTGGATTTGCACTTGAAGTCCACTATTTTCAACCTAATGAAATTTTGAATCAAATTAATCCTTCATGATACAAAGCATAAATTTTGTGTGCAAAAATATTAAGTTTCACATGAATAGGCTTAAATCAACAACATGCAACTTTTTCACAATTTATAGCTTAACACATGATTTCAAATATATGCATCATATTAGGCAAAATTAATTAACCCACACAAGCATACAAAAACAATAATAAAGCTGAAAATAGTTTTTTTTTTTTTTTTCAAATTTGAATTTTTGGGTTGTTTTTGGCATACAAACAAGCACTCAAAAACAATAAAATAGATAATAAAAAAAACTCGGTATTTTCCAATGTCTAAAAATATAATGAGCAATATACAAAAATTAAGGGCAAAGAAAGAAACTAAGTACTCCATTGATATAAATTTGCAGGTGGTGAATGGACTGGCATGAAAGTACTGGCTCAATTGCTATGTCTTTTCTCTTCTTCATGGGTGTTCCGGTGTAATATTCCTTCAAAATAAATAGAGATAAAACATAACTTGGAACAATTTATAGTAAGCCCAAATACAACTTAAAAGGAAATATGGGGATGAAGAAACTTTATACTACTAAAATGAATAAAAATTAGTAGATTATTAAAAAATAAAATAAATAAAAGGGAAGAAAGTTTGGTTACTCCCTAATAAGCACTTGTTTATAGTCATCAGCTGGACATTGATGTTTTGACTGCTCATGATGGTTTGAAAAGAGATTTTTCAGCCTTGCATCGGCTGTACTCCAATTGTTCTTTGATTCATCTTTGAGCTTCCAGATTACAAGATTTTAATTATTGTCCCGCCTAACGATTCCACATACTTCTTGTTCTTGTCGGTTTCCCAAAGTTCTATCATATTACACTCCTCAATGTCAAGTGGTTTCTTGAGTGGAGCATTTGTCGTAAAACTTTGTTGTTTTTCTTCCATCCTCAAGATAAATTCACCTTTTTCAATATCCATTAATATACGTGCAATTTCTAAGAATGAACTTCCCAAAATTAATGGCATGTGTTGAGCATCTATATCAAGTATAAAGAAATTAGCTGGAAAGAACTGATCTCCATCTTTGATGAGTATATCTCTATCACACCATAAGGATGGTTGGGTGACCTGTCGGCTACCTATAGAATTATTGATGTTGCTTTTGGATCATCCAATCTAATCTCTTTTAGAAACTGTGTAATTTGAAATCTGTTGAATGGAGTCAATGGAAAGAATGTTGATGTGAAGTTTTCTGAGGGATCCAAGAACTTCTTGAATTGTTTCTCCACCTTATTATTCTAAAATTTTGAGGAAATGGGACTAGAGGTGTACGTTTATTATCCTGATCAATTGCATTAACTTGTGGACTATCTACTTCTTGATTGACTTTTATTGATTCTTCAGATTGAACCACTTATTCTTCATCCATGATAAGTACCCAATTTTCCTCGATCTCTTTTTTTTCTTTACACTGATTTATGACGATTGAACTCCACTTCTTTTTGTGGTAGCATGTACATTTTCCTCTTTAAGCTATCTTTGAAGCATTTGAGAGAATGTGATAGGTAGCACATAAGCTCGAACACTAGTAGCAGGCTTGAATGATAGTACCTCAATAATTGCATAATTAAATGTTTCAATTGATAATACATGTTCTCTTGGATTCTTTTCTTTGTCTCTTGGCAGGGTATCATGTGTTTTATTGGCCAATGCAGTTGCTAACTGCCCCACCCAAATCTCCAAATTTTGGATAGAAGCTTATGGTTCTAGATTGCAGTTTCAGTCTTGGTGATGTACTTATTAAGTAGATCCTCCAAAGATGACATCTTCTCTTGTTACTGCTGAAATTCTTGTGGGTTGCCCTGAATTTAATATCCATGTCCTTGATTATTAGCCCACGAGAAGTTAGGATGCTTGTTCCAAACCAGATTATAAGTGTTGTGGAGTAAGGATGTTTTGTCGCCTTTAAATGTTTTGTGCATATCTGATCTCTTCAGGCTAATAAACATGTGAGGAGACTAAAAGATAACTTGCGGTTATATGATTTTTCCTACAGCCTCTGCAAATTGGTGCTGATTAGTACACTATGCTTACATTCTGAGTGAGGTTGTCCAATTTCTTTGTTAGTACTTCTATTTGGGCTGCCAATAATGTAATTGCATCAATGTTGAGAATACCTGATTTTTCCTTGGTAATTACTTGTCTCTTGTCCACATAGCCTTATTTTCTGTTATTTTCTCAAAGAGATCTAAGGTGTTCTCTAAGGGAATATTTGTGATTGATCCTCCTGTTGAAGCGTCAATCATGTTACGAAATTCAGGATACAGGTCTGAATAAAAGATGTAAATCTTAGCATTTTTAGGAATGTCCAGATTGTAACACTTTCTAAAGTAATCCTTGAATCTTTCTCATACTTTTGGATAGCTCTTGATGTCCTTTTACTTGAATGTATGTACTTTGTTTTTTATTCGATTGACTAGGGAAGGAGGAAAGAATTTCAATGTGAATTTCTGCACTATGTCATTCTATGAAACGATGCTCCCAAAAAGTTGGGAGATTACCATTCTTGTGTGCCTTCATTGAAAGTATGTGGGAATAGGCGTATTCGAAAAACATTAACTGACATGCCTTCATGTTTGATCACCTCCAAAGCATCAGGAAAGTTTGTATGTGTTCATGAGGATTTTCAGTTCATTTTTTCGAGAATATGATGTTCTAATGATTTTGAAACAAGTTGATGACATCTGATCCAATGTGGAAGTTGGCCTACCCAAAAGGTGGATAAATAATAGCCGGTTGCAGGTATGGAATTTTAGAAATCCCTAAGAGCTTCTCTATTTTTGGCAACTACTCTTAGTGGATCTTGTTGTTTTGGCATATCTAGTGGTAACTTAATTTGATTTTCATTTTCAATCATTTTTCTTGATTCTCTTTGTTTTCTTCTTCGTTGTATAAAAGTTCTTTCAATCTCGGTATTTGGTGGATGACCTCGATTTCTTTGGAATAGCTTAAAATAAATTTTTTTTTTTAATATTATACAAACTAATAAACTCAAATTAAATACTTTATTCACATGCAACGACGCCAAAAACTTATTCGGTAAAATCTCGCAACCGTACGAAATCGTTGGCAGGTAATCGAATTCGTGAGTTGAGAGTATCGTCTCACAGGGAATAAATTCAATTCAAATTAAAAAGTTTTGTATGGAATTTGAATTATGTAAACAAAAGAGAGTTTGATTTTGTGATTATTCTAAATTAATCTAATAAACCTGTAAAATTAGGGTTTGTTTCAAATTATGGATGATTATATTGGATTTTGAATTCACCTATTGATATCTATTTCAATTCTTGATTTGTAATTTAGTTTCGTTTATGTGTTCTTGACAATCGATAATGCTATTATATATAATTTTTTTTAAGACAAATTAAATCAATCCTAATCATGACCGAATCTATTCCTATTTCAAATTCGAATGATTATAATGCATTAAATTTTAGATTATCTATATGATTACACAGGTGATAAATGTTATTCCTAACATCTATTGTACATATGTTAATTTTAACTCGTTCTAAACTTATTGTGAGTCTCTCGACACTACAATAAACAACTAATTGTCCAATTGATGATCAAGCAATTAAATAATGTAATAGGTATGCAAAATTAATCAAGAAATACAAGAATTAAACTAAACTATTAGTATTGAATTAAAACAAATAAATAATAGCTAGTTAGGGTTCATCTTCATCCAATACAAAACTCATCTAGCCTAGTATACTTTCATATAAATTACAAAGGAATAATAGAAAAACATCATGCAAATCATGAATTAATGCAAAAGATATTGATCTTCAATTCCAATGTTGAATTTTTTAAAAAAATCTTGATATAATTGGCTTCAATTCCTTGCTAGGATTTTGTCTCATCTCTTGAAATATAGCAATTTGCCCCTTGTTTTGGATGAATTTGATGATATAATTATGTATGTAGAGGCAAGAAAGAGTTCCCCAATATTTTGGCCCATTTTTGTGTTTATAGAAGTCTAAAAATCAAGCCAAACACGAGTACGAAGGCCCTGAAATAACTCATCGTATGTGCGCCTGTATACTTACCCTGCACGCGCAATTGAGCAAAATGGCTCTCGGGTTATGAAAATTGGTGTTGGGCGCGTGCCGTTTCTAATTGTTTATTTTGGTCATAACTTTCTTTCTCTATATCTGATTGAGCTGATTCAAAGTGAATTGGAAACATAAGTCAATGAGCTAAAATTCTTCTAGAAGTAGATATTTTCTAATTTAAATGTTTGCTACCCGAAAATTGGGTCTCAATCTGATGCTAAAAATCTGGAGCATAACTTTTTCTGCTGAAAACTGATTTGTAAAAATACTTCAACTATATTTCACTCATTTGACCTCAAATTGCATCATATTGATCATGTATGATCTTCAATCATCATTTTATGGTTCGTATCAACTATTGGATGTT